CACGGTTAATACCTCCATGACTAGTACATTTCAAGAAAGAAAAACATGCGGCTTAATTTTTTACGAAATATTCTGTCACAGTGAAATGGAACGTGTGAACAGCGTTTATGTTGAAATATCAATGAATCCGAATGATCAATGCAGGCTTTGAACTTTAATCGTTTAAGAACCGCAAGGGTAAAGTTTTGAAGTTTTTCTTTTTCAAAACCTCCAGAAAGTTGGATTTGAAGAGGTAAAATGTGACCTTGGCTCTCGTTACATTTCTCGCGCAGCCAAAACCGAGAGTCATGTTCCTTGGTCTTTCTTTGCTCCGAAACCAAACGGAAACGCTTGCTAGGCAGGCTATATCCTCCGCAGGCAGATCAGGCCTGTTGTTGTCGTCGGGAGGCTGGGGACAGGCAGAAAACAAAGCACACGAGGGACGATGGGAAGGGGAAACAAAGGAGGAGAATCAGAGCAACCGTTGCAATTGATAAAGAACTACTTGAATTTGCAATACAATATCAATAATGCTTTGTCTCATAATTGTTATGAGTGTTTTCACTTGCCAAACGGGATAGGTGGAACAAATACTAAGTTGCTTGCTTGAAATATTGGGGAGCAGTGGCCTTATAAGTAGGATGACTGCCTTTAGGAAGGGACTGAGGAGTCAAAAGGTACTTTTCAGAGCTTATGTAAACTGAATTCTTATTTGACGAACTATTTAAAACTTTCAAACTTTGCATTTTTCTAAGTATTTTTAAGCTTCTTAAACTTCGAGTCTGAAGCTTTGCAACGTCTAGTAACGAAACATTTGATTACGGAATGTTAGGAATTACTATAAGACAACATAATTCGACAGAGTTAGAGCTAAGATGAATCCGAAAGCTTATTCCTCCACAATCGTAACTTTTCCTTCTGATGACCGCTTTGGTCTTTTCGTTCCATCTAGTAATTATGCTTTCTTGAGTCTAAGAAGACAAACTAATAAGTTTTTGTACATTGAAAGCTACTAATATGTACCTCTAATTAGCGTTATAATCAATGGATTCACGCCGACTCAGCTAACCCCAAGTTCAAGTCATACAATGTTTCATGTAAGTGGCTGAACATAGCAGATTTCCTCTAATAATTTACATAAAACCAATGCCAAAGTGATACCTATGTTCAAAAATGGTTGCGAGACACAGGCCAATATCACTCCTTTCAGGTTTTAACCGAATTTTCGAAAAAGTCATGTATAATCGTCTAAAAGCATATCTGTATAAGCAAGGCATATTTGTAAATCACAGTATGGCTTCCCCGATAATCATTCCACTCAACATGCCATTCTTGACATAGCAAGCCAAATACAAACAATTATGGATCACAAACTTTCCTAGTGCGATATTTTTGTAGATCTACGAAGAGCATCCGATACGGTCAATAACTCTCGTTACTAGAAAAACTGAAGCCCTACGGTATTCGCGGCACCGTCAATGGGTGATTTTCGTCATATCTGATAGGCAGTACCCAGACAACTCAGGTTAGGCTTGACATTCGGACGAGGGTTCGGTTCTAGGACCATTACTTTTGCCTACTATATGTTAGCGATATACAAAACTGCTGCGATAACTTGAAGTTCTACCTAATTCCGCTGATGGTACTAATCTTCTATACGCCGACCGAAATTTAAAATCTCTCGAGTCTGCTGTTAATAGTGAACTTCTAAGCGTATATTTAACAATTATTCCTCGAGCCCGAATGGTAAAATCCAACTAGTTGGTAAACAAATATCGAGACAAAACAACTTTAGCTGGTTAAAGCTAGACTTAAATCCTCTTTTACCGCCAAAAAGCCGGCGCTTTTCGCTACTAGTGGGCTATAACATATAGTCTAGTAGTAGCTCAACCAATCAGAAAGCAGCTTGATAATAGAACACTAGCTGGATTTTACTAAAACTGGTTAATTGGCCTGCAAACAAATTATCGTGAAACATTCCATAATGGAATTGCATACCTCCAAGTATTAGAAAACTCTCAAAGCATGGCTTTAAAAAGAAAAGACATGATTGCTTTTTACCTTCAATGGCCTTTCACAGAAAGACCACTATCCTGATCTACCAGTCACCTTTTGGCATAAACGTCATCAAGGTTTGAATTAAATCATTCTATTTCGGTTTTCTTAGATATTCTCAACAGCGAAAAGAATTATGTTGCTTCAAGTGGCCTTATTCATTGCACATTGTAAGTATTTTGTTGTTGTTACTTTATAGCATCATTATCACACTCTGTGACAATTTGTTTTCCAAAAAAAAAAAACCTATTGAGTGGGCCGGGACTTAAGCTAAGTGGACGTTTTTTTTTGACAGGGAGGATGTTTTTTTTTCTTTATTTTGGTAAAATTCTCGTTTTTTTTTTAATCGAAACGACGCAGCCCTCGAATAAAACTCAGGCTTTTAAAGAGAAAGGGAAATTCAAGCGGACCCGAGGGAAGACGTAATTGAAGTCTCTCCTCTTTGCTCACGGGCGGGTTCTTTTTGTGTTAGCGCACCCAATTTTCCCATTTTCAACAGATCATACAGCGGTATCTCTTCTTTCTCTTGCCTTTTCCATTCCTTTAAGATGTGCCTCCCCGAATAAGCGCCGTATTCTCTCTGCTTCACTACAACGGCAGCCATCGTTATTTCCTTTTTATAGCTGAGAAAGAAAATAGATCTCTAAACTAAAGTTCATTGCGTTGTTATCATTTTCTAACAGAATCAAAGAAAGCGATTGAAATATTAGGTAGTTCTCGGCTCTTCGCAAGTAAGTTTTACATAAATTATGAACGCAGCCCTGATAAAATAATAAATTTAATAGGCGTCACTTGATGCTCCTTAGCTCTTGCTAGCAAATATAATAACCATCATTTTGTTCTGTTTCAGTTGCTGTTTCCAGAGCGGAAAGTAAGTTGGACACATTGTAATGTTTTTTACTTTCTAGTTAGCATATCCTGTACAGTAAGCAATTCACTTCTTAAAGGCGAAACAAACGCAAGTGCTCTCTGGGAAATTATAAATTAAAACAGGCTGAATACTTTAGTATAACGACTGTTTGGTTCATTGGAAAAAATTCCACCATTTTTTCGGGCGATCATGGTGGATAATTTTCAGAATCTAGACCAAAAAGGGGTAAAATGAGAACTTCGCCCGGGAGAAAAGCGGGAAATTCAGACGCAAGGTCTAGGGCGGGGAAGATAAAGGAAGCCGCAATTTTACTTTAAATATGTCCATACGAGGCTTAACTAAATCCCATGCCAAAGTTAATGAGTCGTCAGCAAATCATTAAGAAAATCATCGCCAGTGAAGGATTTGCACTGTAAGTACTTGAATCCTAATTTCTTTTAAACTTGTCTCAAATAGGACTTTATAACATAGCGCGCGTGCTTGCCCTATATAAGTCCTATTGAGCCGCTATGAACAAACTCTTTATTTACGGACGCCCGTGCGTAAATAAAAGAATTTGCTCATGCATTTAGCTGTGCGTATATCGAGTTATGAATGCACTTGGGAAGTTTGGAGAGCACTAAAGAAGCTAAAGCTGCTCTCGACTGTGCCTAGAGCAACTCTTACGCATCTTTAGCGCTCTCCAAACTTCCCGCGTGCATCCATAATTCGATATACATCTTCCCGGGTACAAAATACATGAATTTGCCGTCTGGATACACATAGAAAAAAAACTTCTTTTTTTTTCTGACAAGATAAGACAATGAGCAAGCCGGTCACTGAACTTCCTCGGCTATAAAATCTACTTAAAACAAGCTATGTAGCTACCGTTTTTGTTGAAGCTGAAGATTTTTAAAGGAAACTTTATTCACCGCAGAAACATGTAGCAAAGTCGTCAAACAAATCGGGGGAAATACCTCTCCTCTGCTTTCCTTCTTTACACTTTTCTTGCGGCCTCCAAAGAAAAACTGTTAACAAGAATGCTGAATACTAAATTGCTGCACTGTTTAGAAGACAAACTTTAAAGTAAGTGTCACTTAAAAAAATGCATGTGCAACGGCCTGGCCAGTACCTCATGCATGCGCACAGCCACATCACCCGGACAGTGGTGACCATGGACAGCTGTTTCACTTTTACTAGATCTCATTAGCATGGTATAGCCATCAGACCTCTTTGCGGTCAATGAGCTATGTTCACCTTCAAGCGATAGCTCCTTACAACACATGTAGGGGCTGTTAGCTGAAAACCGCACAACAATTCTCCCACGACATGAACCGGGAAGGCTGAACAGCATTTCTGCCGATCTGTGTAATCAACTGCATTCCCAGAACTTTTTCGATTCCATGGAAACTGCGAGGAGCAGGAAAAGACCTGAGAATGAGATTAAAATAATAAGAACTATTGTTAAAATATAAATAGCCCGGACAATAGCATTGATTTGTTTAAGAACCCCTAGACATTTAAAGTTTTATTGACGAAGCTCTCCGTACGCAATTTTTTAAATAGTAATAATAATAAATATTATAATAAAGTCTTTATTCGTCAAAAGATAAAAATACATATCTTTTGTAACAAGTGTATTCTCTTAAGAAATTTCACATCTAGTAAGAGGAAGTATAAAAAGGTAAAAAGTTAGAATTAATATCTAGTATATTACAAAGCTAATTCGTATTTAAAAACTAAACGAAAGAGTTTTTAAAACGCATGGTAGTAATCTCAGGTGTATAACAAGCTTCTTTCCTAAGATGGTAGCTAGATGGTTTGACAAGAGGCATTATAGTTGAGAGAGGATGTCGTGTAGAGTTTGAAAATTTTGTAAAAAATTTTGCTATCTTACTTCTCTAAAAAATCATATACATTTACAGGCTTGGAGACGTGCATTTTTTAAAAGGAATAGTAAGGTGAATTTTAACTTTGCGCTGCCTCAAAAGGTACTATAAAGGCATATCATTTTATATGTGAAAGTTATCGAATCCAGACTCTACTTCTTTTAAAAACTCAAATTAGAATTGGCAAATGATACTTATTCTCGGTACATTACGTTTTAGATAGAAGCTGTGAGCAGGACTGGGAATACTATGACGGTAGCTGTTATTTCCATGAAGGGAACATTAAGACATTTAGTGCAGCCCAGGCCAACTGTGAATTGAAACAAGCCAATCTTGTAACTGTCAATAATATAAATGAGCACAAGTTTCTTAGCGTTCTTATGGGACGCTATGGGGCTTGGAATGGCCTCAACAGTCTAAACGACACAGAAGTATTTGAGTGGATCAGTGGAGAAAAGGGCAATTTTACCAACTGGCTGCCAGGTCAACCGAACAAAAGATACCACTGTATTCATATGCTCCAAAAAGGAGAGCACAAGTGGCGCACGAAGGCATGTTCATCCACACTCAGGTCGATTTGCGAAAAAAAAGGTAGGTTGGGGCTTAATAAAAGAGAGTAAAAGACAATCGAAGAATCTTGAAAATCACACTCACATTGACGAAAAGACGGCAGTAATTGAGGACACTATCTTTGCATCATTCTCCTTCTGGAGACGGGACCGCCATTTTACATTTAAAATGTGCGTGGGCCATTAATCTTCTGACAATGCACGCTCTATGTACGCAAATCACTTTACTTCATCTTAACGGTTGTGTTCATAAGGGTCGTTAGTCTATAGGTGGAATGCACCCATATATTCCCCTCCGTATACTTCTTACAGCAACGACTGTTATCTACAAACACACTTTAACAATGACCTCCTCCCGTATGGCTTTCCATACTAGGGACAATTAAGGCTCAGAGGGAGGTTGATTTGAAGATTCTATGATACCTTTTTAAAAGTAAAAATTACTGACTGCACTTTAACGACATGTCTCTTTCTATTACAATTAACTTCCCTTAAATGAGACACCCCTTTAAAAGTGAACTTGTGAATTAACCCATTTTCACGTAATCATGAGAGAGGCTGCAAACAGTGTCTCCTAAGCAAGCCTAAAGTGACAGGTATAGATGCTGATAATAGAAACCGCAATAATTCTTTTTTCAGCGAATTCTGACAAGGACAGAGTACATGTAATGGAAGATCCTCTGATCCTGAGCGTGACTACAGCTGATCCCGACACACTGGTCTCGTCACAAAGCACAGAGCTGACGTTAGTTGTGACACCAGAAATGACACCTCTCCCTACTTCTGTTCCCAGGCCTGTCATGGATCGTGGAAAAGGAGACGAAAATAAAGAAGGCAAACCAGAAGGTAACTTTGAAAATGGTCTTTAGGTGCTTCTTTTAGTGGGCGTGTGGGCTGCGGGGGGGGAGAAGGTAGTCACTCCAGAGTCACCCTAGAAGACCCAGGGGCGGTCAGTCGGGCCGTTAGAAAAGGCGCGACAAAAGTTTTCAAGCACAGACGGAAAAGACCCTGGGTACCGGACCATTTCTTAACGGTCAAGCGAATGCTGGCTCCTGACTGGGCACAAAAAATGCTTTGTATTATTATGCCCAATCGGCGAACAGTTTATTCTGAGTTCGTAAGTTCGTACACGACGGCTATTTTCTCGCTTCAGTTGCCCTGTTCGTTCACCGGCCCGACTGACTGCCCCTGGATCTCCGAGGATGCTCCAGAGTAGGCAGGGGCTAATATCTCAGAGACAATTTTCCCACAATGTTAGTTTTTGGCAAGTAGGCCTTTTGTAATCAGGATGTTGTTCTTTCAGGATATCCCGACAAATCCCATAATTTCACAAATTTAATTTTTATGACGTCACCCTTTAGAACTCTACTGCAAAGACATTTTCAAAACTGCATTCCTTTGTCAAATAGAAGTTTGTGATGAGCATTTCAGCAATTGAAAAATGAAATTTAGAAATTGCCATGCGGGACCGCACGGTATGGGAGAAACATTACGGAACTTGCCAAAGGACGATGATGACGATGTAAAAGATAATGTGAACGTGATAAAGAAGGGTCTCTCACATCTTATTTGACTTTTTCATTGTTTGGAGCCTAGGCGAAACCAAAACCAAAAGAAATAAAAAAAGTATCTTTTTTTTCCGTTTGTGGGCCTGAAGAAAACATATTATACATTCGAACATCTCTAATACGGACATCGAAGGGAGAGAGCGAAGTGTCTGTATTAGAGAGGTGTCCGGATAAAAGAGGTCACCATGATGACGTCACTTTTATAACTCCACTTACAGTTTTACGTGTTCAGTTTATAAAACCAGGTTCACACTCGCCTTTAAACTGCATTTAAATTTATTAATTCAGAATACAAAGACACTGTCTTTCAGTAGCATACAACATTGTACAAATCAGCTACAAAGTTCATCTCGTACAAAGATCTCACTGGCCGCGGGAGATCTGGGTACGTCAGATAACTTCAAAGTAAGTACAGTCGTAGACAAATTACTGTTTTAAAACAAAACGAACTACAGCGCAATGCTGCATGTAAAAAGTTGTATAAACGTAAAGCACAATTCTGAAAGCGTCTTTCGCTATTTTGCAAGTGCAGTAAACAGTAAATAGAGTACAAAATGTAATAGAAAAGATCTTCATGCTATCTGTAATTATTTATTAAGTCAGTTATGTTCCTCTGTACACCTTTCGCAAATCGTTGCTTGATATACAACGACTGGACTTTTGAAATCACCTTGAAAAGCACATCAGGCAGACGGGATGATTCACCTGACATGACCTGATTGGGATTCGGGACTGACTCGTCCACAGTCGTCTCTCTCTCTTGTCTCTCCTTAGTGGCGCGAGGGGTGTGATGGGAAGGAGGAAAGCGAGGGAGAGAGTCTTCCTCCCTTTTCCTTTCCATCACCTCCTGCTCCCGTCGCACGCGTTAAGCGAAGACAACTAGGGACGAGTCAGGATTCGGGCAGTGTCCGTAATAAAGAGGTTAAGTTTATATGAATTTACTCTCTGGGCCGAGATTTAGTGTCCGTTGTCCGTGTTAGAGAGTCCGTATTAAACAGTTTTTCTTAAAGAAAATACATGAGAATTTTGTCGAGACATTGTAAACTGCCCGCAATAGAGAGCACGCACAGTGTCCGTTTGAGAGAGGTGTCCGTACCGAGAGGTTCAACTACACTTAAATAAAGATTACTCACTTTATCGATGCGTGCGATATTTATTTTCTCTGGCGACCATCTTAAATTTTATGGTTATTATCCATCAATATTTATGGCAATTTATACCCGGTTTGAGTACACGTCTTTTCTTTCTTTTTCTTTCTTACCAGGCCCTAACGATATCAATGTTCTCATTCCCTTGCTGATCATTTTGCTGCTATTTCTCCTGATTGTTGTTGCAGTCATTGTCATCTGTTGCAAGAGGTACGTACGATTGTCAGTCATTCCATTTTGTGCTGTGATAATCCTATTACTTGTAATGGTGGCAGTATCAGTAGCAGTACTCGGGTCGAACTTTATTGTAATCAGAAGACTTGAAAAGTTGTTTCACGTTTGCATTGTTGAGATTCAAAATCGATTTTCAATAGTTTTGCAGGTAATATGATAAAACGTTCTGTTAAACAAGAACAAAATGATGCTGTTTGTTATCCAGAACCCTACATTCTTTCTTTAACTTTGATTTTTTTTATTCAGTAGGGATGTTTGGCTTAGGGCCAGAAAGGCCACCTTCATTTTCAAAAAAAAGGCCACTTAGTAATGTAGCAATACCAATCACATGAAAAAAAACAGCAGTTTCAAATCATTTAATCAGCATGTAAACCTGCGGGTGTTTTACTTCATAGCTGTTCGTCAATTTACTCGCTTTTCTTTCCTCCATGCAGAAGGGCGGAGAAAAGGGAAAAACTACTCAATGGCGCTAAAAAGTAAGTAAAATATTTCATGATCATCAGGGGCCTACCTACTAAATGTTATTCTCTTGATATTATTGGGATCAGAATGATAATATTATTTCCTTTGTGACTGGGCCGTGCAAAAACCATTAGGCCCTTGTACTGTGCTGTAACAAATTACTTTCAAGAAACGTTACTTTTTAAAGGAAGTTTAATTCATTTGCAGAGTCAAATGTCTTTAGAGGGAAATCTAGGGCATTTTCAACAGATAATGATAATAACAGATATGTTGCGCTAAGTGTTGTTGCAAAACACCTACTCAGCAAGATACAGCTTTCTCTGTACTGGTTTGAGAAAAACTGCATTTATCTCTAGTGCTGATCAGTTTGAAACATACTAAACGCCGGCTATCGGCAAACCGCTGCACGCAGTAACCTCCAGCCTAAATGACTAACCATCTAGAATCGAACCTTTTTGGAGGCACTCGAAACAGGTTTTTTTGATCCTTAGCAAAAAGGGTCTCTAATTTTTTTTTTTTTTTGGCTAGTGAAAAACAAGTAAGATAGGCCCATCGTCCTCGCCCGAATAGTTATTTTCCTCATATGTTACCTTTCTCGTTTTTTCATGTTTTTGTTACATTTTTAAAGACTTCGTGTTAAAATGAGAGTAAAGAATCTAAGAGTCAGAGCAAGACTTTCAATTTAAGTGGGTATACATCAAATTAATGTCTAAATGATGTATTTCTAGGTCTGAAATAATCTGGCTGTGAAGTGCCACGAAAAAGCAGCCATCCTCGATGATGTAAGTATTCAGGTGACTAGTTATAAGAAAACAAGTTAGTACAGGTAATCACATGATTTCGAGTGCAATTTGGAATAAATAAGCACAAGTAAATTTTTTCAAAGGCTAACAAAATTGCACGAGCCCGTAGGGCGAGTGCAATTTGTGGTCTTTGAAAAAATTTACGAGTGCTTATTTATTCCAAATTGCACGAGAAAAATCATGTGATTACTTATTAATAATATTCATGAAAAAAATGCGAGATAGCTTAAATCACGTAAACCACGTGCAAAAATAATTTATTCACATGTGCAGTCAAAACAACATTTTTCTCGACGTTTTTAAAGTTTACAAGCCGCAGAAACGGGCTAAACAGTTCATGGAATCGTTCAATCTGTATCGGAGTCACTTTTGATGAAACGCAATCGCCGTTTGCAAGGGCGAATGGTAGGCGAAGTCTTGTTGTTGAGGTTGAATGTTACATTGCAGTTGGTGAAGGAATTCATTACATTCTGCGCTTGTGAACTCATCTTATGAGGAATTACTGCACTTAAAGTACAAGGACCAGGTGTATTACCCGCTGGCTTCGGTGTGCTGTTCTTTCGTGAGATGGCCCACGAAAGCTGTCGCTGTTCGTCTTCGTCTGCTTCATCGTAGTCATCTAAAGATTGGATTTTCTGTGACCAGTGACTTTTGCAATTGCCGACCTTTCGAGATTCGCCTTTTTCATTTTGCTGACTACTGTTTTACGGGCGCTGTGATTGGAAAACCGCTTCTCAGATGTCTCAAGGCTGGTTCCGGAGATGATGCTCTTCATCATGGAGTTGATTTTATTTTCTCCCATG